CTAAGCATCAGAAAATCATGAAATATAATGTGCAGTTCCAAGAGAGTGGATTTGAGTAATTTGTTTTTATTTGTCTTAGGGACCACTCAGCTCCGTCCAGCTGCATCGTAATTGTGCTAGTGCACTGGTCTCCAGGCAAAGCAGGCATGAGTATGGATGAATCATTATTCAGATATAATACCACTGATACGACCCAGAGGGGATATATTCTTGTCACTGCTTTCCCACAGCAACACTGGTTGAGAAAATACAGCATTCTTATAGTTAACTTGAGGAGTGCTCACACAAATGACAATTCACTCTCAGAATTACCACGTGGTAGTAGTAATAACGCCTACCAGGTAAGAGAGTTCCATGGTCACACGTCTGGAGACTCATTGAACTAAACTTATTAGTTGAGGCTTCGTATTTCTAAAATGTTTTGTGATGCTCCAATAGAGAATAATATAAGCAGAGTTTTCAAAACCTATTTGAAATCGACCTTCGGACCACTTTTTTTTTTTTTTTCATCTAGAACAAGGAGCATTTATTTGTTGGAAACTTTCTTTTTGTGTTATGGACAATCAGGACCATGTGCTTTGATGGAACTGAAGGGACAGTTCATGAATAAACATGAGGGACATTCATCAAATCTTGAGAAAGATCTGTGCTTCCCCACAGACATTAGATCCTAATTTCTTGTCCCTTCTTCAGCATTAACAAAGCAAAGGACTGAGAAATCTGCCACATATCTGCCCTGAAAACACACTGAGGCTGCACATTTCTGAAATATTTTCTTTGATATTAATACTCATTATAACTGTATTTCACATATTTGTAGAGAAAAAAACAGATGATTGTAAAAACATTTGTTCTTTGGTCTGACCGCCATACCTGATATGGTTAGAGCTGTTACCACTCCAGGGAGCACGCAGTAAATCAGTTTACTTTATCCTTATATCAGAGTGAAAACCCTTCAAGGTTTTATCCTTTCAAATGACTGTGACTAAATTTTTTATTATCTTGAAAAAATATTTTCAGTATAATCCAAATCAATTTGTTTGCTGACATGGTTTCAGAGCACCGTGGGGTATGTCTATTTATTGGGACAAAAGATCAGTTAATCTGATGCCTTCTAAGTTTTTCTTTCATGATTCAAATTATACTATGTTACAAAATTTTGGATAAAAATATGCTGTATGTTTATAATTGATTGCTCAACGGTGTAAGAGTCCTATTAAATCCCCACCATAAAAATGTATACAATAAAGTATCAAGCAAGAGTGTCTTTTTGGTTCTGGGTGATATATTTAATTTTCTAGGCTATGTTTCCTACTCAGTATGATCTTTGAATTTTTCTTATTTTTTCTACATTTGCTGATAATATATCCTGAGAAATATTCAATCTGAAACTAATAACATTTTACAAGTTTTAGATGGAGCTGAGGGCAAACAAAATTTAAAATATAAATTTTGGATATCTACTTTGTCAACTACATATAAGGCAGTATCTTCTATTGGGAGTATGGAATGAAATATAACTTGTGTTGCAGGTAAGGAAGTCAGTTTGGGATATGCTGATTTTAAAATGTATACATTATAGCCATTTGGAGAGTTTTAGTAAAAATGTACACACATGGAGCTATATTTTGGGAGAAAGATAGGCATTGAAGATTCAGTATGGAATTCCATTCCCACACATGTTAAAATTGAAGATTTGTGAGTTGATGCAACTTCCAAGGGAAAGTATACAGCATGGGATGGAAAGGGTAGTAAAGACACAATCCTGCAATTTCACTATTTAAAAGGAAGGCAGAATAATAAAAGATAGTGGAAATGACTGAAGATAAATGAGCAGAAATGTAGGCAAAGCAAGAAAGACTGAGTTCTTGGATGCCAAGAAAGGGGGGATATATGAGGTAGACATAAAATCAAAAGGAACTTTTTAATGTTATTAAGATGCTAGTCAAGATGAGACTAGAGGAACTGAGGAAAGAAAGTCAGTAAAATATGCCATCAGGTCCAAGGGCCACAGGAGGCACATTTAAACGCTTGTGTACTTTTAAATAATGACAGAAAAAAATAACACCAACACACTGTTCTGCTTTATCTATGTAAACTCTGTCTCAGAGTAACTAAATAGTTGATCAAGGGAAATTAATTTTTATAAAAGTAGTATAGCAATTAAATGGAGAAAGAATGATGAAAATCACCACTTGAAATTATTAAATGGATAACAATTTGGCCATGATCATCAGTTGCTGTTAACATCATAGAAAGATAGCTTGACTTTAAGTGTGTACTAATGCAAGTACCTATGATTTTTTAAAAAATCAAACCTGAATCTGACTCACCTAAATCTATAAGCCAAATTGTCAATTTACAGGAAATAAAAGGAATATTTGGATACTGATTCAAGGGAATTGTAAAATAATAATAATAATAATAATAATAATAATAATAATAATAATAAACAGGGAAATACTGGTTGGATATTTGAAAATATTTTAAAAGATTGTGAAATTTTAGGTAGTGCAGTAGTACTATGCTTATATTTTTAAAAATCTGTTTTGGAGATACACACTGAAATATTTATTTATGAAATGATACAGTAACTGGCATTTTTTTTTAAATCTGAGAGAGGAAGGAGTCTGTGGAATTACATACAAAGCAAGTTGGCATTGGTTTGATAATTTTCGAAGCTGGCTTATATGTACAAGGGAATTTATTAACATTTTATCAAATTTTATAC